CCACTAAAAGATGAGATTATGATTTATATATATTTGTTCGCAGCTTTAGACAATGCAATAATAAGATGATGATTTCATTGTAGAGGCAAAACATAGATTAAAAACAATGGGATAAAAAAAATTCCATGCAAGACCATTCCTAGTACGTTCTCTGGTAAACGTGACATCCATGCAAGGACGTATTCTTTTAATCAATTTTAAATTAATTGATGAACTGCTTATTGGTCACTACAAGCCAATTACGTTCTTATTATTTTATAGCTTCGTTTTGACCAAATCGAGGAAAGTTATCATGTAATACGAACTTGGATAACTGATATGTACATTAATATAACTTGTTATATTACTTTTAATATTGTGATTGGTTTAGTAGGTCTTATGATTAGTCAATAGTTTTGCTTAAAATGTTTTCTCTAATACCGGGATCGTGTGTATTAGTTATATTTACAACGAATATACTATATATAAAACATAATAATGATATAATTCTCTTTTTTAAACTAATGATATGACGATTATCTATTTATTATTGAAATGTATTCATACGATTACAATTTGAGGACACATAATGCTTTGGGTTAAAATCATGATATTTAGGGGTAATAAGAGACTAAAATTCATAATTGAATTTATATAATCATGGTGTGGTTAATTAATGGATATTTAGGCTAACCAAAAAAGAATTAATGGATCTTTATAAAGTTGTCATAGTTGATGAATTTAATTTTCATCGCGAGAATTTGTGGGTTGGGGTTTTACGGAATTACGTTCCGTTTGACACGTGAATGGAGATGCTTTTTGCATGTGAATTTTAATTTGCTTTGTAGCGAATAAAATTAATTAACCAAAAGCATATCTATGATTCCCCGATAAATGAAAAGAAAAAAAGATAAAGTTTTAGAGTCCAAGAAATGAAAACTTCAAAGAGAAAAAGTGAATGAAAAATTGAAAATCTTATAAAGTAAAAGGAATAGAGCACAATCGAACAACGATGAGAAGACAATTATCATAAAGATACTTTCGTTTTCGTCCTCGGACTTGCCGTTACCTATATATATATTGCGGAACCCAAATTTATGTATATTCATGTGAGCATAGCAACAAGATAATAAAAGTAGGTTATATAAAGCAAATCAACAATAAAACTATAAAAGTATTTAACCAAAAACCTTTTTTACTCCGTTCACAATCCTCTATATATGTGTTTCATCCATTCTGCTTCATCAGTCCATTACAAAAATAAACAAATATACTGCTCTTAGAAATTCGAAGCATAAAACTATATATATTAAGAAAGTTGACTCCTCTTGAAGTAGAGTTCATCGGTACTCATGTCGATATCGTTATATATGTGACTCTTTGATTTAGTGAATAAATCAAAGAACATTTAAAATACGAATTAGTACGAACTCACAAACTTCTCAGTCTCCAACTTTTACTGCCACAAACATACAAAACGAAATAGTATTTGTGTGCATAAAATCTATAATGGTCCACTTGAAAACGATATCATATAGAGTTCAATTACAGCTATTCTTTAGGACCATTCCACATTCAATTTCGATTCACATACTTTTCAGTTTTCATATCTCTATCTCTCTCCCTCTCTACAACGACATTACAATGATGTGATGTGATATGGCCAACACGGTATGTATTATCATGGTATTATACTATTATACATAGATAAACATACACACACATACATTGTACATGTTAAACTTCAGAGTTACCCTTAAACTAAGATAATAACAAATTACAATATCATTTGATTGAA